TTTTTTTTCTCAGTTTGATGTGCGGAGCTAAGTTTTCAAACCTTGATGCCTTTTCCGCGGGCATAGTGGTGTAATGTTTGCTGTTTTGGTTTTTAGTTTATTTTTGTTGTGTAAGTGTATGCTGAGCACCCAGCTGCATATCCAGCCTCGTTTGTCACCATCATCAAGCATATCCTGCTAGTCGGGAGTTGGCTTGCCTTGTCCAAACTTGGCGTCAGTGGTCATCGCTAGGAAAATGGGCCCCATTTCGCTGCTAAACGTACCTTACAAGTTTTTCTGTGAATTCGAACTATTATCAAGCAAAACATGGGTTCCAATAGCTTTATTGTCATAGACTTGTCGGTGATATAGTTGTGGTTTAGATTGATGCGTGTTCTTTGCAAAGCCCGATATTTAGAGAACTTCAACTATGACTTTTTTGAAATGACGCACTTCAATCAGAGCTTTTTTACAATCGAATGTGGATAAGTATCGATCTAGAATCGGGCGAGTGCAAGCAACATAAGTGTAAAAGACGTCAATTTCTAGGTGAGGGTCAAGTTTCCATGTCCTCGTCTGAGGATGGGTAATCTGACGTGGAGGGGCCAGCCCTTTGACAGATGTATTCAGTGAGGACTTCCTTCCTCCATGTGTGTTGAACTGGCGTCTTTGTCTTCATTATTGAGGGTCTATCGTTAAACTTCCGTTTGATTGTGGTAGTCCGTTTCACGACCCTTTCCCCACGCATCTCCGCCATGCGTAACTCGTTCTGGTGTAGAGTTGACATGCATACGTATGACGGATACGTATTGGCCGGCCTGAAAAAGTGTTGTAGGGGTACTGCTACTCGCAATGTTCGCGCCTGCAATGAAATATGTCGACTTACAGAAATAGATCTTTAGGGCAGTAGAGCCTGTCCAATGAGTTTTTGGACTCACACCAACTAGTCCCTCCGAAGGGACTAGTATGTGTTAGGTCGCTTTGGAATTCAGGCTTCAGCACAATAGCTTTCAACTGTTCGTGTGCGGCACTACCAATTGATAAAGTGGGTTTCTGCCCATGCTCCATAAGTGCTTGGTGAGAGCAGTTTGTAAGTGCCCCGACCTTCGCGTCCTAAGTTATCGTTTTGATACTATTCGTGTGTTTCTTTCCTTACCTGATTCCACGTGTGAACGTCTGCCACATGGTAGAGGCACGTATTAAATATATATTTTGTGAGCTCTAAATCTTGAGCTTTTGCGCTCTCCTTCACTGCATGATACAGATGGGCCTTGAGGGGTGTAGCCCACTCTTTCAAACCCGCGCAATCTTTGCGTTTGGCTGCCTTAAAATCATTCATTCCGTTGCATTCTGCAAGGCCGAATCGTCCTACCGCGAGAAGTTGGCTGTTGAGGCGCTTCGCCAAATGCCAGGGGTCTAACAACCACTGGATGTTGGTGCCGAATTCGGAGTTATACAGCCGAATCTCTTTTCCATACATAGGGCTACGATCTGTGGAGACCGAGCTTATTTGTATGTGTTTCGAGCGGAACCAACGTAACAAGCGATGAAACCCCTCTTTTTCCATTCGCCCACTAACATTATCTGAAAAACCAGCATTCGAAGTCATTTTTGTTGATTACGTCGCACCTGTTTCCGAGTAGTGCAACACTTCTGTGTGGATGCACAACTTTGTTTTTTGGTCGATCGCCAGCACTTTACAAAAGGCGGCGCTGTGTCCCCTCGAGTCAAATGACCCGTCTACCTGGATATCCCAGGAAGACTGGCCATCTACCTAAATTAGGGCATGTTACATGCCTCAGCTTTGTCGTTACCTTTTTATCGTACCTCGTAGGCGGACTTTATGGTCCGAATCACTTCGTTTTGCCGCCTTTCATACACTGTTGTAATGGCCGAACGGATGTTCTTGAAGAGCGGGTAAAACACAGATCTGGATGGAAGACCCACACCGATTTCCTTTGCCCATTGTTTTACTTTCTAAATTTTTTTT